AGTGATAAACGAAGATCACCTCTGTTCACAACATCAAGGCGGTTACGTATTTTTGAAATATTTTATTCGGGCAGTGAAGTTTCGGTGGCCCACTTAGAATTTACTTTGGCCCTATAATTTTCCGTCATTTACGTGTGGCCCCTTAGAAACATGGCGTGGCCCACTTTGAGAACCACTGGTTTAACATATTCTTTAATTTTGATATATTTGTTGCCTATGTGGTTAATTATATATTTCTTTTTATTAACTAATCAACCAAGGTGGAAAGTATACATTAGACTGGCTGTTTTTGGTTACATGCTTATGGTGCCTTCCAACGAAGAAGAGAAAACACATTATCACATCGACAGACAACCACGAAGACATCGAGACATCATGATGCATGGACATTGAACGGTCTACTTTACGGCTTTCCATAAACTTCCATTCACCTCAAAGTAAAGTTAAAACTAAATCCTGAACTCGCTATATAATGAAATTGAAACTCACACTCGCTCAGTTTAAAACACCAGTTTCATAGTACTTAAAAAATCAGATACATGTCCGGGGCCAGTTGGGATGTGCCCACAATTTTTGTTGCGCTCTCTTCCTTCAAACTAAATTACTGTCAGGTTAAAACAAAACAAAATAAATCTGCACATTAACACAAACTGTTTCAGTAACATTGTTTATTCTTCTTATACTTTATCAATTGATCACTTCCTTATTCTGTCTTATAATTTGCGATTTATATGCTTTCCTATTCCTTGATACATTTAGTCCACATTCATAAAAAAAAAACTAACTAGCAGAAGTGTATTCCATTAGTGACAATCCTAAACATTTATATTGTTAAAGGGAATACTCTGTCTTTTTATGAGCAACAGACATTCCAAACGTCATTTCAAGTTTTCCTAAATTTACTCATTAGCGGATCCAACCAAATTCTGGGGCATTAAAATAAATACAACTAGTAAATATTTCCAAAGAAATAAAAAGACGATTTGCAAAAGGGAGTACCGGAAGGATCGATTTCGATTCCTCGTCTACATATTATATATATTAATAACTTACCTAGTTGTATCACTGAGCATAATTTTGAGAATTTTCTAATTGTAGACTACATCACATCATTTAGCGTATTATCCAGCAATAAAAGGTATATACATTATATTATATGGAATTATCTGCTCAAAAAACAACATTTCATCTAGAGATGAAGTTGCATCTCAACTCAATGCTCTGTAAATATTGCACAGTGATCATCACAGAAGTAGACATTTAGAAACCTGAAAAGGACCTTTTTTATGTAGCCCTACTAAGAGCTTGATATGTTTGTTTTGCAATTATTTGTATAAAAACAACGTAAATATTAAAATCGATTATGTTTTAAAATTGTTAACGTTATTTATAATTAATTCTATTAATTTTAGTTTTTATTTATCTTTTAACCTTTGTTGATGTGTTATAAACCATTACAACTCAATTTAGAGTTGATCAACTTGATGATGGCCCAGTGGTTTATTAAGACTCCCCCCCCCCCCAACCAAAAAATTTATAGAGGCCTCGAAAAAATATAAGCACAGAAGAAAATTTGCTATTTTATCTAGCTCTTGTTGTGCTCCCTGAGCTGTTCATAAGTTTGGTTTGTTTGGAAT